CCTATGTAATGCCAACACTCGACGCTCATTGGTGTTCCCAAGGAATAGGCACCTATACTGTGACCCATACGGGAAATCGTTATTGGTACCCCGAGCAGATGGTTATGCCAGCACTGATTGGCTTTCACGTTCGGGTAAGGGGGTAGGGGAAGAGGGCAATTGAAATGATTGGCTGACAAGTCAAAACCTTATGTAAATCGCCATCTGCTCGGGGTACCAATAACGCCTGCCTGTCCGTGCCACCATCCAAGCCACCGCGGCGCAAGCATGTCTTTCCTTTGAAAGAAGCAACATGCGAGGGTCGGTGATGGCGCTTAGTAAGTGCGCACAATGAACAATCATACCCGGCACACCGTCACGCAGCAAAGACGCGCCACTTGACCGGACACTCGGTTTAATATATCCTCACTGGATGGCGACGGGATAAATGCGGCGAGTACCCGCACCAGTCTTCCATTCTGTGGCCAATGGGCCGAGTCATGCACGACGGACCGAGATTCAACATACTTTATACGGTCAACGGAGGGTATGCAAGTTAGTGCCTTGGGCAGAGAAAAATACGGGTGCAGAAACACCCTCAAGCGCCGAGGCAGTGGTCGCGCTTGAACTGCAGCTGACGTATGATTGATGTTTGTCGGATCCAAAAAGATAGCACCGTGTGTAGCAGGTTGTGCGGTAGTACCGTTGGCGCCGTCCGCAAGCACTGCATCGAACGCAGTCGAGAGCGTGCAGTGCGAATTACTTCTCTTGCATTGTACTGCATAGTATGGGATGTCTATGCATTAAATTCCTTGGTGTCAACAAACAACCAGTTCCACGCCGCAGCGTTTAAACCAAGCGCTACGTTATAGAAGGCTCGGTGGACCTCGCAACCAGATGTTGCAAAACAGACGTGCCACAGTCGCCATATGTTTTTGGGTGTGTCATCACGGACTGGTCCCACGAGTTCGGACGACGTCGTTGAGTGCGACACATCATCCTTGGTACGATAACATTGGAGATTCGACGCTCCGCTCCTATACCTGTGTTAAGGCTGCAAAGCCATGATGTCGTACGACCGGATTTTTCGTCGGTGCCAGAAATCGAACATCGCAGCGAGCGATGGGCACGTCGCATTGTCGCATTCATGGGCACGTCGTAAGACACGCAGAACGTTGTGCGATAGAATCGAATGCAGGTCGTCGTCCGAGTGCAGAGATCAATCAATCAAACCTGTTCGCGTTGAAATCAAATTAGCGAAAACTAACTCAAAGACTTCGCATACGTAGTGCTACGCCTGAATGCGTGCAAGGGTATATAATATTTATTGTATACCCTTGATGCGTGGGAGTTGGTACCAGCACTTGGTCGTTGGGAGTGAGCTGCGCACGGAGAGATCCATCCCGTGGTGGACCCCACTCGCCGAGGTTTAGCTCGCTCGAGGTCGTACGCAAACTCCTGTACTCGGACCACCCGACAGAGGAGTGCAAGCCGTCGGGTGTGTTTTAAGCGAAACCGTCCGAGCCCACATCCGAATAAATCCGGATACCGACCGAGCACATGGAACCGACGCCGCACGCGGCGAGGCCGGACGACTGGACTTCGTGGAGGCAGGGCGACTGCGCCCGCGGGGTGAAAGCACGGGAGGCCAGCGACGTCTCATCTCCTTGACGGCCGCCGGGGACTCGACGGGCCTTGAATCGTCGAGGGGCATTGGGTGCCGAGCGCGCGAAGAGCGGCGCCATCGGCGCGACCACCGACCGCTGCCAGCGACCAGCACTTACACAGCAAAGGACGGAAGACACAGAGCGCACAGCACGCCGGAGCGCGCCATGGCTCTGCGGGCGGCAGGTGCCCTTGGAATGGCGTCACCCAAATCCAGCCAAAATGAGTGCAGAGAAAGTCCTAAAATGTGGCTTGTTGATAACAACGCCAAGTCGACAGGGGCGCAAACGTCGAACCTTAGCAACGCCAGAGTCTCTTTCGGGCACGTGATGCCGGAGGCCTCCATGGCGACGATCTTAAACAAGATGGTGCAGCTCAACCTTGCGACCACCACGACGACGGATGCGATCCGCGCTCGCTGGACGGCCACTAAGTTTACGTGCCACACGTTCCGCCGCTCGGGAGCACAGCACCGGCTGATGAACCCAAGCGAAAACGAGCACAAGTGGACGCTGTCAGATATCAAGCATTGGGCTGGCTGGGCCGAAGGTTTATCTCCTTATGTGTCAATTTGATTTTAACGACATGGTAGGCGAGAGCGTAGACATATTGGCGCGTTATCTAGTTAATGCGATTTCTGGGAAGACGATGCTCGGGCCCACATCATGCGCCTGGCGCCGACGTCTGAGGTACAGCAGCATGCGCCAGCCGTCACGAACGAGGCGATCTTGAAGGCCTTGCAAGAGCTCGGCGCGGCACTTGGAGGTAGCCCTGCGGCGCTGCATGCCCCCTGCACGCTGCTACCGCGCTGCCCTCCACTGCTGCCGCGCTGCCGTCCGTTCCACCTTGTATTGACACACAGAACAAGGCCAAGGCCCTGTTTGTGAAGACGCTCAACTGGGCAGAGCTCGGTGTACAGTGGCTCATCGCCGACTCGAGACGCCGTATTGCCAAGCCAGCAAAGGAATGGTCGAGAGCCGAAATCAAGAGCCTAGGATCGAACAAAGCGCGTGTCTCCACGGCGAAGAAACTCGGGCAAGAGCTCGAGATGGCCAAGACGGAAAGCAACACGTGGGCCGATGAGCGTGCCGCGGTTGAAGCCAAGTACGGCGTGAAGCCGGGCGTCAAAGGCAATGTGACGACCGTAACCATGGTGAATGCCATCCGTGCATACAAGAACCAAACAACCCACGCTCGCGAAGATGAGGGCGCTGTCCAGGCCTAGTAGACTTTAGTGGTCGTAACAGATATAACAAGATATATTCATGCTTGTAGCCCGTCATCGTACTTACGGACCATCACAGCCGTCAGCCGCGTACAAGGGCGCGGTCGTAGAGGTCGGGGATAGTCGCGACGGCGTGTGGCTGACGGCGACCGCGACAGCGACAGCGACGGCGTGCGGCTGACGGCCATGCAACCGGCGAGAGCCTCCGGCGGCTACCTAGTTTCATAGTGGTTTCGTCAGAAGTGGCTCATGCCTATGATCGCGACAAAAGATACCTTGGGTTGGGGCCGCCGCGCTAACGTTGGGCCTTGAGCGGGACGCCGTGCCAGCTGGGCGGATTGCGTGTGTGGTGGGTCTTCTTCTACTTGCACTGGTCGGTCAAACTCATTGAAATTCAACGAGCGTTGAGATAAGCTTACAGTACAACTGTACCAGAAAAGCATACACCAGGTCGTTCCTACACCTCACAGGCCCCAGGCATTTGGCCCCAGGCGTCAAATGTATGGGAATCTCAAAGCATTCTTGACCATTTATATTCGCCACACGCCACATAAATACGCCAGAAATATTCCACTAATAGAGAGATTTCGGAGCCGTTCTGTACCTGTACCCACGGAAAAAACCTCTCACAATTAAAGCATGTACAGAATCCTGTTGAAACTCGATATTGAAAACCATAAAAATCGCGATATGTATGGAACGCGTTCTGCACCTGCAGCGGGGCTTTTTGGATTGCGCAAACGAGTGAATTGCGCGAACGAGTGAATTGCGCAAACGAGTGAGTCGTGATTACACTGTATTTTGATGCGCTGTATTTTGATGTGCTGTATTTTGATGTGCGAACACACGAGAGAGCATGGCACTCGCCATTTTGACAAGCCATGTCACCCTGCATGCCACCGACGGAGGCGCCAAAGCGCCGCAACTGGACGGCCGACGACGACCTCATCCTGCTTCGGCAGGTGGGCCTCGCGCCCCCGTTCCTCGCCGATGAAATCATGCCGGGTTGGGACGTGATCGCTACGGCCCTCGGCGAGTGTGAAGACTTCGATCGCGTCGTCGATGGCAAGAAGGTGCAAAGCCGTTTCAACCTCCTTATCGAGAAGCACCGTAAGGCCAACAAGGTATCTGTGACTCTGAAACCGTCGAACGTCGCACGATTGGCGTCGAAGTGCGAGAGGAGCTCGCTGCGGCGGAGGAGCGTCGTGTCGTGGCGGCGGCCTTCGCACGGCCCGTAGAAGTGGATACAGATGCCGTCTGGTGCTGTGACACCTTGGTAGTTGAGGCAGTGGCGTCGCTTGTGGCCGCTGTACACCTCCTTTTGGAGGTTCATCTCCGGCGCCGTGGAAGCGTGCGGGCGGCATGTCTCGACCTTGGTGCCGTCGGGAAAGCCGAAGACGTTGGTCACTGGTGCACCGCGGCGGTGCACAGCATCGGCAAAGAGCTGCAAGCGATCACGGTCGACGTAGCCGGCGAAGAAGATCGTGCTCTTCCATCTCGCATAGAGAAGATTGACGGTGTGGTGGTAAATGCGCGCCAACTGGCCACGAGAGCGCCCAAACGTTTGCATCATGTCGTAGTAGGCTATGGGGTACTTCATCCTTTTCAGCACGATGCACAGTGCCTCCTCACCATATACCTTGTCCCCATCCGGCGTCTTAACGACATGAGGCAAGCCGAGGACGTCGGTGAGGCGCAAGACGCTTCGTACATCAAACCGAAAGGAGAGTTCTACATCACGCATCTCGCGAAGAGCGAAGCGGATGTCAGGTACTAGAGGTTGCTCAACGGTCCAACTAGCCATGAAGGCTAGGAGTCGCACTCGCGCGAGCCGCTTCTTGCGATTCCTTCTCCACCAAAGCAGCAGGAGGAGGAGGCGCTCCTGCTGCATCCTTTCCGACAGACGAGTGGTTTGGAAATGACGGCGGCCGTCCGGATAATCAGATCTTATCCGTTGAGCTGTATGGATGTGGGAAAAAAATGCGCTCCGAAATCGGTGATCGCGACCTCCCTACATTACCTGTACCTGCAGAAAAAATCAGAAATGTGCAGGTACGGGTATGGGTAAAGACGATTCCGAAATCTCTTTAATGAATGCACGCTAAAATAGCACGCGCCAATGAAACGCTGCTATTTCGCGCCAGGGTCTCCGACCTTCCCCGCGAACGCCAGAATATTCCACCAATGAATGCACGCAAAAAACGGAAGCACCAATTGAAAACCGCTATTTCGCGCCAGCGTCACCGACCTCTAATTCGAAATTGGAATACTGTAGCTCATTTTCGATTTGACGCTCAGTCCCAATCAACGACAGCTTTGGAACCCGCGCCACTGCTTCGCGCTGAGCCGCTACCGCTACGTCGGGTGCCCAAGCCGCTGCGTCGTGCCAAGCCGCTGCATCGAC